ATGAACGGTGCCCTAAGTGGATAACGTGGAACGAATAAAATCAATTAGGCAATCAAACAAGGGGGTGATGCCCCATGATGAAAGCCCTGTCCTCGTGGAAGAGCTTGCCCTTAAGGGGCTTCGTGAAAAAATCTCCACACATCTCCAAGGTGTGGCAGTACACAACTCTAATGTTGCCTTTCCCAATCTGATCATGAATACAAAAGAAACGAATGTTGAAAGCCCGAGTTCTTGCCTCGAACTGCCTTTGCCATTATCTGCGAGAATGATCGTGCTTTTGCTGTCCTGCATAAGGATGTTGTCCTACACAACACGAGTGTGTTGGAGGAAACATACCTGACACCTCTTTACTATTGACTCGTGTATTAATCATCTAGTCCGGTTCGCATGTAAATTGATCATGCAAGGAACCAAGGGAGTTTTAGGTCTAAAGTGCTACGGGGGTCCTTATATCCAATACAATCACAAGAATTGCTATGCACCACCAGAAAATCCTCACTTTTGCTTTTCAGCTTAATCTAAAACCAAATTACTCCCCAATAAGCTGCAGTATTACTAGCAAACAACAATGGGGGCTCCAGTTGGAATGGATGGCATGGGGGCTCCAGCCGAAAGGGATGGCATGGGAGCTGCAACCGGAAAGGATGGCATGGGAGCTGCAACCGGAGGAGAGCCAAATGCTGGAGCACCCAAAAGAGATGGACCTGATTTGGCAGATACAGAGAGACCTAATCAAATTTGAGCTATCACAATTACATGTACTACAACAGCAGCAATGCCACTACTAACCATCAATGTTGATACCCAATGCTTTCAAAGCCTCAGCTTCTTTGCTTAACTTTTTCTCATCAGCAGCTTTCCCTTTCTTTCGAGAGTCCTTGTCAATCCGGACAACAAGAAACTGAGCATAATAGTCAATTCCCTGCATCTTAGACTTCTCATGCTTCCATTGAAAAATTTGAGACTTTTCTTTCCAAGGACTTCATCATCGGTGGCATCAGAAAAGATCGTCTTGGAAGAAAGGGTCATGCCCTTAAAATGCAACAGATAATGTGCAAAGAACCGACCTTGCTTGTTCTTGTTGAAACGGTCAATATAATCGTCAATGCAATCCGTAAAGCCTTCGTTGGTTTCCTTGTGAGCTACCCAGGTATCACGAAACTTTAAATGGTTGTAATCACAAGCTGGGACAACCTTGTCAGTGGTGAGCAAGTGAGCCTTGTAGTAGCTTTGAGATTGATCATCAATAGCCCAACGGATGTCCATCTTAACAAAAATCATGAATCCATAGAACATGCGGCTGATCTTGTCACCACAACCTTCCAGAGTCTGCCCCACATCATAGATAACAAATGGCCCGTTTGCTTCAGGCATTTTGGTGTCGACCTCGATGTTAACTGCAAGAAAGAAAAAGAATGTTGTGAGAAGCTTAGGAATCCTCCAACATCATGTGAAACACTGGCAACCAGCTTACTGTATTTGGTACCCATCTTTTTGCAAAACCGTGGTTGCTCGTCTTCCGGGATAGGAGATGGTTTCTCTGACTTTGATAATGTCAACAAAGGGGTGGTGGTAGCTTCCTTTTTCCCTGCTTTCTTGGCCTTGGGAGATGTAAAGGGATCCTTGGTAGTTTTCTTGGGTGTAGCTGTCTTGGGTGTAGCTTTCTTGGAGGTAGCTTTCTTGGGAGTAGTGCACTACGCTAAAAGCTAGTGTAAAGATCTTTCGAGTGTTTTGAGTTTGAGAGAATGAAAGTTATAAGAGAGATTAGAAAGCTATGAAAACTAATCAACGAGAGAGATCATCATCAAAG